CTACGAGGGTAAATGTTAAGGATGAAGGAATCCTAGATCCCTGAGTCTTTACTAGGAGGATATACCATCTAGATGAGTTGCTCAACCCACATCAGACTCTAGGTGAATAAGAAATAACTTTTGTTTAATGACACAGATTTGGTAGTTGTTTTCTTATAGCACTTAGTCATATACTAATTTTTTTTTTCATTTTATAAACTAAGGATAAATTAGGATGAAGGTACTAAAACATGCATAATTTCAGTTTAAATTGTCATGTAATATTGAATCAAGGCCATTTTATGAGGGCAATGTTTCCTTTAAAAGTTTGTATTTTTTCAGGATAACTTTTAATGGTTGCCAAAGTAACTGAGTATCAGAAAAATATTACTACATGGAAGACCATATTTCCTGACCATTGTCAGTTCTACATATGTTCATTGGTGGAGCAGAAGGCCAGACACTGTGATGATCAGAAACATATTGGAAAGTTTTCAGTTTGTGCAGATTACGTTGAAAACTTAGAGTATTTTTAATGAATCAGGTAGACTAGAGTTTGACAGTTCAGGGTGAAGTAGTATATGCATCCTGTGGATGTGCTTGAGCCTGTTCCTTAACAGGTAAGAGGCCATAGCAGAGCCTCAAGGGAGCAGTGTGGCATGATTAAGGAAACAGGCCAAGAAGTGAAATGACTTAGAGCTATCATGAATCTTTTCTAGGTCAAAGTTGGGCAGCCCATCCCACTGACACAGGCAAGAGACAGCTTTCAGTTCATAACTGATTACTAAACAAATCTGGAAATTTTAGATCAGTCTTATAAATTGAATTTATTTTGTCTCTCTCCTAACCAGTCCAAGATGTTTCCATATCCCTCCAGCTCTGGGATACAAGGAACATCCTTCCAACTTCCTTGTTTCCACCCAAGATCGCCCCAATTAAAACTTCAGCTGGGTGGATCAGGTGGTTGAAGCATTGTCCTGTACACCAAAAGGGTGCAGGTTTGATTCCCAGTCAAGGCACATACCTGGGTTGCAGATTTGATCCCCAGTTGGGGGGCATATGGGTCAACCAATCAATGTCTCTCTCTCTCTCTCTAAAAATCAGTAAAAGACATCTTCAGGTGAGGAACACACACACACACACACACACACACACAGTATTTTACCATGTAAAATGCACATCCATGTTTTAGTACTAATTCCCATGTATAATATGCATCTTTATTTTTCCTCAAAAATTTGGGCGAAAGTACCCACTCTATATGGCAAAATGTGGAGGGGGGGATGGTGTATGAAACTTCCTTTGTGCCCTCAGGCTATCACAACTTCTAGGAAATCTTGTATTACATATATAAAAAGCAGTTCAACAATGAAGTGTTCCAACAAATGTTTCGAACAATATAAGGGTTTGTTAATGTCAAAAATTTCTTCTATACAGTGTATAATTCTCTACAAGTCCTTCTTACCACTGTCCATATAACAAAAGAACTGCCTTGATTACAAGTGAATGTTTTCTGGAGCTGTATACCTTGTTGACAAGAAGAAACACACTTTTAAAAATCTTTTACAAACTGGAATTATCTTCTGACCCTTCTAATGTTTTCCTACTTCATATATCCCCAAAGCTTAAACAGCTAGAAACTGAATCTTTCACTGAAGTGAACACTGTCATCACTTTACCCAGATCCCCTAAGATTACCTTCATGGATTCCATTCACCTCTCTCCTGGCTTCCTGTGGTTTTGCTCCGAGGCCAGGACCTGCTACTCTTTACCAGACTACTGCCACCCTTTGACTACCTGGGTTTTATCTTCATTCACGAAGAGCTAGAAGTTTGCCTCTTCCATCCCAGGCAGCCCTTCCCAAGGACCAACAAGGTGAGGGTTATAGAAGCCTACACCCCTTGTCTCAGGTGAAGACAAAACTGTGCAGCATCAACTCACACACAGCATTTCCTCGTGGGGTTAGCCTGGGTAAGACTTAGTCTGCAAATGCAGCATGCTTCATTTTCTCCCCTTCCCCTAGTGCTTCCCTCAATTCCTGATTCCTGATTTCTCTTGGGAATACTTCCTCAATAAATCAGACATATAAATAAATCCTTGTTTCAAGGTGTGCTTCTGGAGACTCTGTCTTAAGTCAGTCTTCTAAGTAGAAAGGTCTATAAAGAAATCCCAGGACTCAGAAGGGGAATATGATAGGGACAGCCTCACAAAGAGCTGGAGTAAGCCATTACCATCCCAATATGATTTAAGGAAGACTGGAGAAACATGTTGCTTGAGTATTTGATTGCCACTAATATTGGAAATGTCAACATGAACGACTTATTTTGTAAGCTCTGGGTCCTTGCAGGATCACCACTCCAGGAAAGAGGCATGGGCAGCTCAAATCTTCATCTCCATTCCCCAAATCACTAAGGATTCTGAATGCCACAACTAGATCACTATGGTATTGGGGAGGAAGGGGAGTTCAAATTTGTCATATTTTTACCAGAAGCACTCAGTATGTTCAGGGGATGCATAGGTTTATTGGTGGCACCTACTATGGCCAGACCACTGAGGCTAGTCAGTGTTTGGGGTAGAATGACAACTCAGACTCACCTAATGGTGCTTTCACTTTGGCTTGCTTTTGAACCAGTAGGCAAACAGGGCAAAGGATATACATGAGATTAGTATACAGACTAGTGGTTGCAATCTCTAGGAGGCATACCCAGAGTTGGGGGAACCCGTCCTCCCAGAGGGGACAATCAGTAGGTCAGAGCAGCTCTAAACTGTGGGTTCACTCTCTGCAATTTATACCACTTCAGACTTGATGAGGGTCACCCTGCAGTTTACCCTAACACCATTAAATAAATTGCTGTGCTATTGTCAGGTAACTGCGTCATTCCTGTGCTTCATTTCTTGCTACATCATTGAGCCTAACTGAAGTTGTATTGCAACAACCTATGTTCTACCATAGACAGGTATTTGGCTTTTAAGTAAACAACCTACTTTAAAACAACCTTGGTGGCAGCAGTGATTGCTTACTGAGGGATACTGAAAGAGGCCTCCACAGTCCTGTGGAGGGGGGCAGAAGCCTCATATCCTTCTTTGCATCATGTGAAAAATAATCCGGTGATAACAGGTGATGATAAGGATTGGGGTTAGGCTATAGATGGCCTCAAACTCAATTAAGATACAGATCCCTTTGAAAGGAAGAAGTATTCATGATCTGTATCTTAGTTTGGGTTTCCTCTAAACAGACCCTGAGGTAAGAATTTAAGTGCTTGTGGGAAAAACAAGCAAGGGAGTGGAGAAGTGTTAGAAGGAAAGGAAGAAAACCAATGAGAGGTACCCTATTAAGTGAGCTACTATGTTGAATGACTGGAGATACCCCACCTGATTCATTCTACCTGGTTGAAGAATGGCTGATGTATTTATAAAACCACCTTGTCAGTCACTGAAGACTGCTCCACAAAAGGGCTAATTTCCCAGGATTTCCAGCCTGCCACACATAGATAGGCAGGGTTCCCAGAAAAAACCCTCAAACAGAGATACACACATTGACAACAGAAAGTCACTGAAGCAAAATATTTTAAGAGAATTGCAAAATGTATATTATTATACACCTATTTACCTAGAAATTGAGCTACAAGGAACATACTATTGACCCAAGTAAAGAGCTATCAGGACTTTGCGTTTGAAGCACACCCAGGAGGTATAGGAACTTCAAGGCTCATAGAAGATTGACTTCCCAACAGTTCTCACAGAATGCATGGTAACATATATATTTAACTTGAAAAATAAAGTCAGCTGATTGGTATAAGTATTGGTTTTACTATAAAATTACGTGTTAAGTCTGTAGATCTAAGGTTTTAATGAAAATATATTGAAAGCACATAAAACACTAATGACAGCAATTACATTCATTGTAATTAATAAACTTATGACACAAAAAAGTAGAACTTCAAAGTAAGGCTGTATAAAGAGGTTTTTGTTTAAACTATTTTTAGTTTAAAAAAATTTAGAGATCAACCCACAACCTAGGCATGTGCCCTAACAGGGAATTTGAATCCACAACTCTCTGGTGTAAAGGAGGATGCTCCAACCAATTGAGCCACACTGGCCAGGGCCCTTTAGAATTTAGGGCACCACAGTTAAAGAAAAGGAGAAGAGTTAAGTTTTCCAGTAACATTTGGAAATACCTCAAATTATAGCTGCGGCAGCTTCTAAGGAACCTGAGAACAGAAAGAAATGACGTTATTTGTTCAAGGGCACTCACACAAATCATAAGCAGAGCTAGGACTAGAACCCAGTCTGGTGCTTACTACAAGGCTCTTCCTAAGTCAATCCTTTCTAGGGTGGAGCAGCAGACCTTTTACTAATTTAATCCTGAGGTCAGTGAGACCTTATGGTGTGGTAAAAGGAAGGCTGTTTTCTAAGGGAGGCTCACACGCCTTTTCCAGTTCGGAATCAATTCCAAGTTTGAGCACTTTTCGAGGCAAATGGAGAATATGCGAACATGATTTTTTTATCGGTGTAGTCTCCACAGATGTATATCAAACTGAGAGAACGTCCGCAACTTTGTCCTAGGCCATTCAGCTTCTAAAATATTTATTTTTGTCCCCTGTGGTGGGACACTAGGGATTCCACTTCCCCGCACCTACATTTCATAGAACAGCACTCATCTCAGCTTGTGATAACACGTTATTCCGTTCCCTGTCTCTCCTCAGCACCTCCCACTAGTAACTTGTACGCAAAGCCTTTCACTCCTCTAGGAAACTCGCTTTCCCCGCTTTCCCCTCCTACTCCACCTTCAGGGAGTTAGTTCTTTCCCTTTGTCTCAGGCTCGCTTCAGTCCTTCCCGGATTCCGAGATCACTGGTCAGATTTATTAAAAAAAAAAAAAAAAAAAAAAAAAAAAAAAATTCATCGGTAAGACACTGCGCACGCGCACTAAACTCGTCATCACCTGGCCTCACGGGTTTGGTTGGCGGGTTGGGTGCAGGAGTTCTCGCGATATTTGCGGCAGCCAGTCGATTGGACTGATGTTTGTTGCTGGTGATCTCTTTTAGCTCTTTTTGGCGCCTACGCTGCGTTGCTACCGGGAGTGGCCGGGCCGAGCACGATGACTTCCGCCCTGGAGACCTACATCAATCGTATCCTCTGGTGGCCGGCTCCGGCCGGAGCCGTGGCGAGGCCCGTGTTCAACTGGAGAGGGCCGGTGCTGGAGAGGACGGGGTCGGGATCGCCGGGCGGTTGGGACTTCTGGCCACTGCGTCGCCCGGGTTCGGGGATTAAGGATCCGCACCGATCAATCCTGCGCCTGGGGCTGGAACCCACCGCGACTCCTTTGGGCCCAAGGCGCCTTTTCATTTTAACCTTTAAAGTGTGATTATTCTGAACTTTTCCCTGTCTGTAGAAGTCAGCTGTTGCTTGATTCATACTATCCTAGGGCCTTTGCCGTCAAGTTTGGGAATAAAAATGAATAGCCATTTTAGCGACAACAGTGGTTTTGTAAATCCATGTACTTGTTTTATCCTTAGGTTTTGCTCATTGTTCGAGGATAGCAAAAATTATAAGGATGGTGCACAAATTGAATTTCCGTCCCATGTAGCACCTGACGCCACAACTTCTTTGTTGGTATAATAGAAATAATGCTGGCTGTTTTAATGGGTCGTCACAAGGGACAAGTGACTTAAAAAAGCCGCTGTGAAGCCTTAAAGTAGTCTATATATGTGTTACTGTTTTAAAGTCTTAAGACAGAAACACTACGTTGTTTTTACATGCAAATTGGACAAAAGTGAAATACTAAGTACTTTTAATGATGCAAAGCATATTCCTATATTGTGACACTGATTATACCTTCAAGTTCAACCTAAGTCCTGGAGGACAAGTATCTTGACCACGCTTTCAGTCACTTACCATTCAGCAATAATCCCTTTTTGTTTTAGAGATGAGGAAGCAGGTTTAAGAAAGGGGGAAATGTCTTGCTCAAAGTCAGAGATAATGTTTGCCAATTATATTACCAAACATACCAGCTGTTTTGAGACAGGTTACACTTGATCACGCTCAGAAAAGGATTTTCTTTTTTAATTTTTTCCTTGTCTAATTGTGTAATTGTCACAGGTATGGAAGAAGTTGGAAACTTAAGTTTTTATGTTGTGAATGTAATGTTTGTGTTAATAGTTGTGTCTTTGTCATCTTTTCCCTAGTAGTTCAAATCTCTTCCTTCCTAAGCTCTGTTTTCAGGTTGCATTCCCTGAGAAATGCTTTCCTTGATTCAATTATTAGGAACTGTTGCTGTTATTACTTCTGATGGGAGAATGATAGTGGTAAGTGTTTGGCATATTCATTCCCTGCTTTCCTGCAGGCTTATTGGTTGTAAATTTTTCTGTAGAAGTGCTGATCTCAAATGCCTAGGTGCTATAGTATCATATAGTATCCTGCATTAAAGTTTTCTTGTGATTCAGCTCTTTACCTGAAATGTTACATTGGCCATATACAGAAAGGAAGTTAGAAACTTTGTTTTTATGTTGTGAATGTATTTTTTTCTTTATTAGCATGTTTCTATTAATAAGTGTTGAGTATAAGTTACAGTGCTTCTAGAAGCTGTGAAGAATAATAGATTCTGCCCTCAGAGAGCGTTTAGTCTAGTGTGCAGGTATTTGTCTGTATTTTATATTTATTTTCCTCTTCCATTTTTAATTTTCCATTCAGTATCCTGGTATTCACTACATGAATATTATATATTTTTTGAAGTTTTGTATATGCCTTTGAAACTTTTTTGATGATTTACACACATTTATAGAATAATGAACATTTAAGTCTTGTATGGTGTTAATATTCTTAAACTATTCTTAGGTTGTGTGACCTCTGTCTTCTGTAGGACAAATTATGATGACCTACCCTAAATTCATCTCATTTGTTCATTTATCACAGTGTCCCCTTTAATTCCAGAGAAATCTTTGATTCTTTTCTTGACTTATTCCTTGACCTGAGGAATTTATCCCATGGCTTTTGGCTTCTTATTTCTTCACTTACAATTCATACAGATGTTTGCTTTCACAAAGTTTTAAGGCTGCTAAACTTTCTCGTTTCTAACTGTGTCTAATTCATGTAACTTAATCTTTTATTTTCCTATTCTGCAGTTCTGTTTCATTTCTTGTTTTGTATTTAGTCCCTGTGATTTTTCTCAGTCGGTCCTTAAGTGACTATTACCAAAGTGTTAGACCTCACCATTAAATTATCTTATGTACCAGGCATTTTACATGCATTATATATTTTAATCTTCGGTATAACTCTGTGAAGAAGAATTAATCCTGTATTCTAGTTTAGGAACCAAGCTCAGAGGATAGAAAGACCCTTTCCCAGAATCACATGTAATAAGTGGCAGAACCAAACTGGGATTTAAATTGGATTTGACTCTAAAGCTAAGCCAGTTGCCTTGCTTCCTTCTTAATCAGGAGAACAGTTATGTTTTGTTTTATGCACCTTACCTTTTATTTTGTCAAGGACAGTTTGAAATATTTAAATCTCAGCTTAACACTTTCAGAAGCCTACTGCTGTTAACAAATATTTGCAAATAGTTGCTTTTATTTCAAAAACATCAAGCTTAAATGTTTCTATTTTTGTTAACAGGATAAATAATGGATTGGAAAAATAAAACTTTATTTAAACATTTCCTTTAAATTCTGGTTCTAATTATTGCAGTCATGTTTGTGTCTACCTTATTGCATTACTGGGAAAGTAAATAAGTAAATAGATGTGAGGTCCATAGAATGCTTTCTGGCAAATAGTAAGTACTCATTAACTGTTAGCTGTTAATACAGTTGAAGTTTGTACATATTTATGGGACTTACTTGAATTTCTTAGAAAAGATAAATGATATTTGCTTCTATACTATACTGTACTAATACTATACTATACTATACTAGGCTACTGGTAGTACTGATGCTATGAAGAAGCTATCCTTTCATGGTTCAGATCCTAGCTTTGCTGCTTTCTACCTATAAAACCTTGAGGCATTATTTAACCTCCTTGTGCTTCAATTTTTCTTCTCTGAAGTGGGAATAATTATATCTAAAATACTTCAAAGATTAGTTAGCCCTGGCCAGTGTGGCTTGATTGGAGTCTGGCCCCATAAGTTGAAAGGTCTCGGGTTTGATTTCCGGTTAGGGCACATGCCTGGGTTGCGGGTTGGGTCTTCTATCTGGGCATGTTCGAGAGGCAACTGGTTGATGTCTCTCTCTCTCTCTCATTGATGTTTCTTTCTCACTTACTCCCACTCTATTTCTTTCTGTCTATTTCTACCTACCTACCTATCATCTATCTTCATTCTTTCCTCTGTCTGGAATCAGTGGATATATATCTTTGAGTGAGGATTTAAAAAAAAAAAGATTAGTTGAGATACTGAGAGCACTGTGTTTAGCACAGGGCTTAGTACTAGTGGTAGTAGACATATAGGAGTGGGCAAAAGTAGATTTATAGTTGTGAGTGCACAAAATAGAGTTTCTTCTATTATTCTTGTGTTATATATATTTCCACATGAACAACTGTAAACCTACTTTTGTCCAGCTCTCTATGGTTTTCCCTTAAATTTCACTTGTTTTAGTTTGTGTCTTTTGAATGTTAACTCTTGGACTGGAGTACCTGTGCTTTTATGCTACTTTCTTGGAAATCTGGTACCTAGATGTACTTTGTAACTCTCAGCAACTCTACATATTAGTCAAATGGGTGGTGTGGTTTTTTTAGCCCTTAAAAAACTAAGAGGTAAGTATTGTGTCAGAATACTGTTAATTATAAAGAGGCATTCTATTTTACAGTGGGCTTATTTTTAAATCAGGTACTTCTTTTGGAGGAACCAGCAACTAAAATTGTGTGATTAAATTTACACATTCAATTAAACCAGGATATTTGTCTTTTTTCTCTTGAATTTTTCTTCTTACAGGGAACACTGAAAGGTTTTGACCAGACCATTAATTTGATTTTGGATGAAAGCCATGAACGAGTGTTCAGCTCTTCACAGGGAGTAGAACAAGTGGTACTGGGGTTGTACATCGTAAGAGGTGACAATGTGTAAGTAAAATAAGTCTTTTTAGAGGCAGGTTAAATATACCATAGGTGTACTGCCCTGCTATATGGAGAAAAGGTTTTTATCTACTGAAATTTGTCCATATTTTGTATAGTTAAGTGGTCTGGGTAGTGTCCAGAAAGGGTCCTGCCGTACAGTGAATACTTCATTTGAGAGGTGTCATAAAATGTTCTTCCAAAATACCCCTAATTTCAGGGGAATATAAGTATACTCCTAGGGTACCAAAGCTATGGTTTGAAAATTTCTTTGAAATCTCTTGCATGAATCATTTTAAATGATTCATGCTCGTTAATATAGCTGAATTTAAAAACAAGTACTGCATCATTATTTTTTTCTCTTAATTTTTGTAGTATAATTGGCACACTTTTTTTATGCTGCGGCCTCAGTTAATTTGTGACACACTGGTAGGGCAGTTTGAGAAGGTATGCTTTAATGGTGGCAATTTAAGAAAAGTCTGCAACAGTGTAGGGAAAACTGTTCAGTAGAATTTTTGGGATGGTGGAGATGCTGTATATCTGCATTATCCACTAAGGTAGGTACTAGCTGTGTATGGCTACTGGGTACTTGGAAAATGGTTGGTGTGACTGAAGAATTTTAAATTTTAATTATAATTTAATAGTCAAATGTGCCTGTTAGCTGCTGTTTTAGATATTGCAGTTATAGCAGGTAGAAGGTTGTTGAATCAGTTTTCTAATGAGTTTTATGTAGATTTAAAAGATGGCTGAAAGGCAGCAAAAGATACATTAGCTTCTCAGATTATTTTAGGGGATAGATAGGATATAGAAGATGAAGAATACTGTTCATTTGAATTGTTTATTGTAAAAAAATCTTTTAACTTATTTGATCTTTAATAGAAATTAGGGGTTTATAAAATATCCTATAGAAATGACTTTTGGGTGGGGTTATAAATTGAGCTATAGGAGCAAGAGGAAGGCAACGCAGGTGGGACCCAGGGCTTCTAACCAGAACATACTCATTGTTTTATATAGGAGCTCTGCATAATGATTGATTTAAAGAATTTCTCCTACATTAAAAAATACATATGTTTTTCAGCTGCAGTTTTTGAAAAAGTTAAATATTTTCTGTAGATCCAATGGAGTGCTGAAGCCAGCTTGTATTGGCTCACAAGAAGAGACTGCTGTATTTTCAATTTTGCAAGCTGGTTGATTGATGTTTTGCTGGTAGCTTGAAATCTGCCATAGTGGCAGTATTTGTACTATGGATGTTAGTAAATGCTGCGAACCAATCTCTAAATAAAACTGAGAGGACAAAGTAAAAACAATTTTGTTTTATATTGAGGAAATGATATATTTTCCCAGAGTTTGGTACTTTACATTATTAGAGAACTGAAGGCCTTATGTAGTTTAAAGTAAAATTGGGCAAATTCTGTATCAAAAGTATTCATCTATAGAATTTACTCTCATTAAAACCAAACAAATTTAAACAATGATTTTTATTGGAATAATGTTTCATACATGTCTTATGGTTTGGATGTAACAGTGACTGTTTCCAGCTAGAAAGCCATAGCTTTGTTACCTAGCACAATATTAATGAAATTAATGTTTGTTGAATCGAGGGAGAATTCACTGGCTTTAACTCTAGACAATCATCAAAAAATCATTTGTTAGATACTTAAGTACGTGTTGCTGCTATTTTGTATATCAAAAAAAAAAACTACTTTTCATTCTTTAATTTAAACTGAGTAAACTGATAAATCAAGAGAATCACTGATAGTATATACCATTGATGTATTTAGTTCATTGAAGTTATTTAAATAACAGATGTTTTTATTTCCTTGTGTAGTAGTGATTTTGTGACTCCCCTCTCCCCAGACAACCCCAATATAGTCCCCGAGTTGAAATTATAGGATTGGAAATTTGGGCGTTTTATACCCTATCTATCCCATTTTTGTCTTTTTTCTTTAAGGATTTATGATCTGGTCACACTATATGAAATATGACCTTTAATATTGGTTTCTGTTATAATGTTGCCTTCAAATGATTTCTTGAGTTTTGTCACTAAACCTCGTGAAAAGTTTGTTTTTCACATTAAGTAGTTCTTTTTACATTGTCCTCTCAGTTTCATTCAGAAATGAGATAGTTTTAACTCTTTTTTTTTTTCTCCTCAACTAATTGCAGTGCAGTCATTGGAGAAATTGATGAAGAAACAGATTCTGCACTTGATTTGGGGAATATTCGGGCAGAACCTCTGAACTCAGTAGCACACTGAGGAAGAATTACATACATTGCACATCTGTGAATTTTTGTACAGAAACTGATTATTCTGAGGATGATACGTGGAATTATTATGAATGTGTAATTGTGCAATTTTGACTCCATATTGATTCATTGTAATATGATAAATAAAATATTTTTACATTTTTTTTGCATAAACTTTTTTTTTTTTTACTAAACCATAGGTTTGGTAGCTTGACTTTATTTTTCTATTAAATAGTGTGAAAAATCTAATAATTTTGGGAACTCTTAGAAAAAAATTCCTGCTATTTTAATATTTATGGAAAACTAGTTGAAAAGAGAAATGTGTGTGCTATATATACAGCATGCAAATACTGTATATAGTGCAGGATACATGTGTTTTCATGATTTTTAGGAAAGTCAGAAGATGATAAATCTTAACTTCCATAGTTTTCTGAACCATTCCCATTTATCACACTGTTCTGGGGGTTGTGGGTCAAATGTATTTGGTTGAGAAAAGGAAATGTGCTACAACAAGGTTGTATATTACCTGAAAAAATTGATTACATGTAGTATTAAAAGCCATCTTAGCTCTTAATTTTAAGAATTGTGAACTTACTAGCATTAAAGGAGTTTTTTGTTTGTTTATAAATGTGAGTAAATAAACCTTAAGTTTGTATTGAAATAGTGCTTGCTATTTTTGTCAACAACTTCCTATGACTCACTGGTTCCATAAATCTGATTTCAAAAGAAGTAAACGTGGTCTCTCAGAGCATATCAGGTCTATTCTTTGGTTGATTATTTGAGTGAGTCAATTCAGTAGGTAATGCCCCTCATCTATAGATAAGCTTTTTTTCTAAAATTCCTTTGTACAATTGGTTGATAATACTTTTTAAAGAATCCATAGGAACAATGTTATAAGTAGTGTATGTTTAGATATCCAGGCTATTCCACAAAAATTCTCAGCTACTCATGTGTAGACCAAAGTACGTATCTGTGATGAGAAGAAAATGGGAAAATATTTACGTTCTTGTAATTCAAAATTAATTTTAATAGTTTTCTGTCTTTTTAATGGAAGGACTTAAAGTAGGTGTGTTGGCAAACTTTTTTAGAAATGCATTTAGTAAACTTGTTAAGCTCTGAGGGCGATATGGTTTGTCATAGCTACTCATTCTGTTGTACAATGAAAACAGCCACAGGTATTACATAGATGAACTGGTATGACTGTGTTCTAATAAATCTTCATTTACAGTTTGAAAAAATAAAATTTAAAAAAATTTGAAAATAAATAAATCTTCATTTACAATTACCAGTAACTGGTAGGCTAGACTTCGCCAACAGACTGTAGTTTGCAGACTCTTGGCTTAAACAATACAAGCTCAAGAATCTATAAACTCTGAGAACGGCTTCTAGAACAGATTCTTTTAATTTAGAGATGGATTTCATTTGTAATTTTTAATATTAAAAGTCTTATTAGAGACAGTTTTTTGATTCACAAATAAAACATTTTCCAGAAGAAAACTTCACTGTTTCACAGAAACAAGACTTGTTAAGGAGACAACTGAATTGTTGAGAGAGTTTTCTTCGTTGGTCATCGTGTACCATCACCCAGAATAATTTGATGTTCTTATGTTCAGGGCTGTGTCTGGGAGCACGAGAGGAGGATTAGTTAGTATTGGCTATTTATAGCTATTGTAGTATAAGATTTCATAATATAGTGATGAAAAGGGCAAAACAAGCTGGCAAGTTTAATTAGGGACTATTTAATAAAGGATGGTGTTTTAGTAAACTAATTTCAAAAATCAAAGAGTAAAGAGAACTTGATGGCTAAGTGAAATATATTCTAACAGTACAAATAAAGTCCAAAGTCATGTTTTCCAATGTGTGTGACATAACACAAATTACACATAAACCAGTAAGCAGTGAACAAATTAGGTCACTGTCACAGTAATAAGTTTCTAATATGATGTGTCCTTTTGAAATCTAACATGCCTTACAAAGTTGTATTTTCCTGATTGATGACAGAAAAATCATCCCTAAGAAAAGAATTGCTTGTCTTTATTAATGGTTGATAGAAGAAATGAATGAAAAATACACCAAATGGAATATGCAATTCTTAATTCCTGGGTGCACATTGTAGATTTTTATGCTTATAACCAATTCAAGTTGGATGTCTTTGCAAGGGTACTGGAAGGGACCCATAATTGCAAGTGGTATCGTGGTAAATACGCAGTGTCAAGTTTTTTATATTCCTTAGACTTTTACTCTGGAATCAGTGTCTTACAAAGAGGCTCAAAAACAATTTTAACCTCTAATTACCTCTGTGCTTTGTGACTCAAGTACTATCTAAACCTAGCTTATAACGAATCAAATACATTTTTCTTAGCAATGTATTTTCACTAAAGCTTTTGTAAAGGGCAATTAACTGCAAAAGCAATTTTTTAACTGAAAAAATGTTCTCTAAAAATAATAGTTCAATACACTGCTTTTTAGTTAAAACACTTTGGTAAGTTAAATGGCTAATATGCCGATAGTTTTGGCTTAAATGTTACAAATCTTGAGGCCAGAAGAGTAAGAGATATTAAGGATAAACTTTTATTAATACTTGCTTTACTGAAATGTTCTGTTCAACATCTTTATAAAATTTGAAATTTTAACCTTTTGTGAGATGCAAGTATGATAAAAACAACTTTTAAGTAAAATTTAATGTAAATATGGGCTATGTTAATATTTTTCTCAAATGTGTAACAAAAGATCCCCCATGTGGACAAGAAATATACAGTCGACTCATAATGGCATGTGAAACTACTTGTGTAGTAGCCCAAGTAATAAAGCAGCCCTTAACTGGCAATATACTGTATTCTGGGCCTTCACCTTCAAAATTAATAAGTAGTATTTATTGAGTGCATTCCATGTGCCAGGTAAGATGTTGAGTGCTTACAACAGTGGCCATTTTACACATGGGAAAATTGAGGGTCAACAGGGTTAGGTGCCTTACAAGAGGTCACTTGTAACAGGGCTCTAATTTGGCTGGGGCTTTGTACTTACATAACATTGCCTATAAGCAGAAAGTATACTCAAAATCTCTGCTCTCAAGCAAGTTATCAGAAGCCTGATTAAAAGAAATACTTAGATGATCAAAGGCCATTCCCAAAGCTTCATTGTGGACAACTTTTATTAAAATTACCTGAGATAATTCAAATACAAGGTCTCTCTGGAAAAAGTCCAATCATTGTTCATATAACGAGGATGGTTTGCATGACATCAATGTAACTTGGCAGCCAAGGAGAGTGGACTGGAATGTGCATGTGTGAACAGCGACAATTTCACTGTACTAGCAAGTGGGAGGAGTAGACCCAGATGAGAGAGCACGTGTAGTATGTGGTCATGGCATTCAAAATACTGAGCAAATGGTGCAACAAATCTGCATCAAATTTTGCATCAAGCTTGAACATTGCTCTGCGGAAACTGTTTGGATGATTCAGCAAGGCCACAGTTATGGACAGCTGGTGACTGGCAGCTTCATCTTGACAACATGCCCACTCATGCGTCACATCTTGTGCAGAGTTTTTTGGGGAAACATAAAATCACTGAGGTGACTCAGTCCCCCTAACAGCCCAAATTTAGCACCCTGTGACTGCTGGCTTTTCCCAAAACTAAAACCACTTTTGAAAGAAGAGATTTCAGACCGTTTGTGAGACTCAGGAAAATACAATGGGTCAGGTGATGGTGATTGGGGGAACTGTGTGAGGTCCAAAGAGGCATACTTTGAAGGGGACTGAGGTGCCATTGCCCTATGTATAATGTTTCTTGTATAATCAATAAGTGCCAATATTTTTCATAGTATGTGGCTGGATACTTTCTGGACAACCCTTGTATTCTTAGACCCTACTCTTGCTATGGTGGTTCAGCAGATCTGGAATTGGAAAAAAGGAATACTCACTAAGTAGCAAATAAGGAAAGTGTGGTGGAATTATTAAAAGAAGCATTCGTCACATGCCTGGATGAGTCCCTGATTATGACTCACTATCATTGCCTTTAAGACCGAAATAAGAATACCTATCTTATGGAGTTGTAAGAGATGGAATTAGACTGTTTTTAAAACTTGGCATGATTTGACTTGGGGATATAAGAGTGAACTGCTATTCAAAGGTTAATGTGAGAAAGTTACAAATATGGGCTTGTCACCTTAGGTTTTCAGAGTCCCACTGGCTGTTATAACTCTGTATAAGAGAGTGGAGTATATAAATTAGGAGGATTTCAGGGGTATGTATAATAATGTATTATATATTAACAATCATAAAATAAGATTAAATTTGTTTTATGACAATCATATACTTTTAACTCATGGAGTTGGAAAATGAAAACTCAAAAGTCACATTGAAACAGACCTCTCCATTCTGACTTGCATAGTTATTACCTCATTTTATAAATTTACTTATTTTAAATTTTATTTTACTAATTTTGGGTTCTTTTTTAAAAAAATTAAGCTATTATTCTCACTTTTAAGTCATGGGCAAATTTGATAAACATTTATTACTGTTTACATATAAGACAAAAGGAATTGATAAGGCAGAGATATCTCCTAGTTGATATTGTTCCATTGAACAGCATAGCATTTTCATTCCTCTGCTACAAATTCACTTAAATGCAAGGTATTTCGTTCTTATTTTCCATCTTGTTTATAGGGATTATTCATGGGAAATTTAGTCAAAAGCTTTGATAAGATCTTTATTCCTCTCTGTAAAGGAGAAACTGTGAGGTGAGCTTAGTTGGTCTTTGTGAATTCATGCTGCCCTCTAGTGATCACTGCTTACTTTTCTGTGTCTACAAACTTCAAAATAAAAAAAGGAAAAAAATAAAAATAAAACCTGATTTTGGAATATTGTCAGGGATGTTTGTCAAGCCATGTTAGGTGCTGTATTCCAAGCTGTGGACATATCAGGGAATGATATTAATAAGCTCTTGTTCTTGTGAAGCTTGGGTCAGCCTATTGTACCTCAGCCAAATCATCTTGACTCAGAGATTTACTGTTCAAGGTCATGAATTATTCCATGAAATTATTTCAGTATTCTAGGATATAACTTATGGGTCTTGGATTCATTTAAAGCACCTAAAAACTGTCTTTTTAAGTTGGATATATTTTGTATTGAACTTTACCAGCCTTTATTCTGTTTTAAGATTGCAGAGTCTATGTAGGTTGTATAACATGAAGGATAAAGGCAAAATGGGACTTCAGCAGTTGTCATTAGCCAACAGTGTCCCATCTGTGCCTGTGTCATCATTTGGTGAATGAAGGAGTTGAGAACTATTCTTCAAGACATCTTTCCTTAGGTTTAGCATTAAATTTTTTTTTCAACATTCAGTTTTTATATTGATATTTTTTGTTATACCCTTCCATATTTGTGTATGTGTTTCTTTATTAAACATCTATTTATTTTATAGAGATATTGTTTGCCAGAATTGGCACAGGTCAACTATTGTTAAACTAGTATCAAAATCCCATTCTATTTATAGTCCAGTGTTATTTCAACTACATGATATGGCTTCTTTTCTCATCAGGGTAATTTTCAATTATACTGTAATAATTTATTAAGTTTTATTTTCCTCATATGCTGGCTTTAAAAACACCATATGATGGAAATGGTGCCTGACTGTTACTACATTT